CTGCATCTTGCAATTGAGGTACAGATATGGGAGACTGACCTGGAACTGAATGACTTGAGGCAGATATGGAAAGGAATTAGAGGAGTCGGTTAGAATAGGGCAAGACTCCAGAATTTTTACAGTTCATTAACCAGTTTTACGAATAAACATTGCTTACACTACCAAAAGGGCACAACATTAAAAAGATTGAAGGAAACTATTGTACTTTAAAATCAGACTGTTGTCAGCTGAGGTTTAGGAAAGGCATTATGATCCATCCTGTGGTCAGGTATCCTTTCTTCTGCAGCATCACAATTGAACAGTTCCGATAGTGTTCAGGCAGTTAAGTTAAGGCAAGAAGATTTTGTTTAAGAACAAACTGCTGCCTGGCCAGATGATCCTGATGCTATTAGGACGTCTCTGCTACTCTTTTACCACCCTTACCTGGACAACTATCTCTAGTGTATCCAAAATAATCAGATTTGCTTCTGTTGCAAGATTTCCATCAATAAGTGCCTCATGTTCTATCTCCGCCCTTGATCTAATCAGAGAAAAGAAAGCAATAAAATTACATTCTGTTTAAGAAGTAGGCCTACACATTCTCCTGTCAAAAATATTTTCTCATCAGCAGGAAACTTCCAGTTACAATGCACACGTTTAGTACTGGACAACACTACAAGGATATTTCAGTGCATCCATTAAGAGGACAAGAAGAAATAATTGTTTTTTACATATGCAAACTTATACACAATTTACGTTTATCATGCTCAGGAGAGACCACGCTATTTTTTGACACTTCATTACCCTCCTAGGAACATAACAACAATTTAGCATCAAAGCCCAGCCCAAAACCGGTTTAGTAGCATCATAAGGCATGCAGCAACACAACCAAGAACAGAACATACAGTTTTATGTTAGAGGCTATGGACACAAGGTGGTGCTACACGAGCTAGTATTTTTGCACTGCTGATCCTGGCAGCTAGACTGATTCTGGTGCAGAGTGCATACTCTGAGAGTGTGATCTTTGTCCTTTTACACTACATTACATTACAGTTTTTGTAGAATAGCTTCCTCTCTGAGAAAACTACACAATTTTGCTCTTATATGCCAGGCATCCGCTTTCCTGGAAAGGCTGATTAAGTTCATACACCCATTTATATTGGTGTTCCCAGGAATTCAGCGGTAACCACTTCATTTCAGTGAAATGAACACATCTCGCAAAGATCCAGTAGTATATTTGAAGCACCCAACAATGGCATGCCCTACACAGGTGCCATCTCTAGCATACTTATGCCAGGTCAAATTACACTCAAGGTGTGACCCATGCGAACTGGCTGAATCTAAGCAAAACACGCAGCATATGGGATGGTGACTGACTTGGCTGAAAAGTGTTCCTAGACCTCTGTTGCAGCAACCCCTCCGCTTCCCACACATGCTGCTTGCTCTGGGAGCTGGGTCACACTCTTATTACCTACCCTTAAATCGCCAGAATATGAAGGCGTGGGCCCTGGCCCCACATAAAATAATGCCACCTGCATTTAGCTGTGCAGAATTATTGGTGTGAAACAACAATCTTGCTTAATTTGCCATAAAAGAGCTCTCCTAACATTAGATTTCAAAGGGTCACACTCTACCTGTGGATGCAGAACACATTTGCAGCACCATGGCTGCAAATGTAGGAGTTGTGCATGACGGACCGAGGCTCAGAATGAGCAACTACAGGTTAAGGAGCAGGTTTGTGCAGTTATCTGAGCAGTTTATTTTGTGGGGAAGAGAGATCATCCTGTGACCATCACAGTCTTCCATAGCCATTTAACATGTATGTGAGGTCCTTCCAGGGAGAAAAGAGGGCCTGGACCAAGCGCCAACAGTGAACTGATGAGTCCTGAAGGCCAAATTTTAATCTGATGTAACTCTGTCCACAGAGGTCTGGAGTTGTATCAAGGAGAAATTTGTACCTACATCACTTTTATCAGGAGGCTGAAACACACTGCTTATTTGGCTTTCCCAGTGCCTGAACAGGATCAGAGTGCTGGACAAAAAGTCACTACCTGACATAACAAGAGGTTACGTTCTTGGGTTGGACAAAGCAATTAGAAGCTGTGAAGATGTACTTTCAACTCCAGGAAGTGTCAGTCTGTCTTCATGGCTGAAATTTGGCCCGCCCTCCATCCAAGACTCTGAGAACCCCATTCCCCAGGTTCTTCAGAGCTTCACTTGGGCTGAGTTTGCCTTCCTAGGATTAGGAACAATTCTTTTGCTGGAAGGATGGAGACTGCAGGTTGCAACTTGAGAAAACAGAAAACGTGCATAGCGAAGCCTGAACACAGCTCCTGAGCCTTCCAGATTAAACCACAACAAGAGAGGGAATTTTAAAGGAAATGGGTGTAATAGGCAAAAAGAGCTCATTCCAACCAGTTGCACACACACACTGAAAACTTCTGCCAAGCATCGCAAACCGTGCTGTGATGATTAAGTCTGCATATGTACAAAATGGCAATTTTTAAGAGCTGCACATCAATGCTACAGTACCTGGCTGGTTTGTGGCTTCTAAAAGCACAGCACATGTGGAAAAACAATCAAAGTGATGGATTAGGACAGGAAAGGAAAGCAAGCTTTGACAACTCCAGAATGCTCTTATGGAATAAAGGAAATAGGACATGAGATATATATGCTATCTGAAAATACTGATAATGGATCTTCTCTCTAAATTACAGCTTACCACAGGGTTTTAAGAGGGCAATGAATTGTATTAGTCTCTAAAACTCATTTCAAAATACTAAGGAAGCAAGGTAAAGTGGAAAAGCAGAGAGTTAGGCAGTGTCAGATTGAAAGCTATTTGCACACAGCCAGCCCTGTTCCAACTGAGGGCTGAAACTCGCTCACATGAGGCCCAAGTGGAATGCTGCCATTGACCTCCTATGGAGAGAGATACCCTGAGTTCTTAAAGGAACTGTGACATTGTTAATGTAGAAGGATAAGGCAGAGTTACTTGTCAAGCTTTTCTGTGTTTTGACGCCAGTGAGTCATATCCTTTCTCCATCTCAAATTCTCTTGACTTCCAAATGCGCTCCCGGAAGGACTTCTCTCTGCAGGATAATATTAAAATAACAGCAGTCATCTACAGTTAGTTTTTTGCATGAGTGGCTACTCTAGATGTATTCACAAGTGAGAAGTGACAGCAAGCTATGACTCCTTACAGCCTAAGGGCTGTGGTAGTCACCCAAGATCTTTATATGGTCCCTAATTCTATCATTGCTGAGAGTGACATGAGAGGTGCCTTACACTGCAGTAGTTTTCATCTGAGAGCCATAAGCAACACATAGCATTTCATGTGCTGCCAAATGCCAGCTCACTACAGAGCTAATTGAGAGAGGTAGCTGAGATACTCAAATGGTACGTAGTTACCAGGGACGCTAAGAGAAGCACCTGGTCCACCCTCCTTGGACTACGTAAGGAGCCTGAGTCTGGCGACTCTCAGCAGTCTGCTATTGCTGTCTTCAACTGAGATGCAGTGATGTTCTGAAGGTGGTACTGAGACACCCTTTCCCACCTCACAGTCTTTTACATCTTTATTCTCACTCCTGGGAGGGCAGGGGAATTTCATTATGCAGTTTCCCAGATCAGTAATTGAAGCACTGAGGCCAGATAAAAAAAATACAAAAGGTTCCCATCTCTCTCTTAAATAATTCATTAATTTAGAGGCGTACCTCTATATATCTATTCAACTTAGCCCATAATGACTGGTTTACACTTGTGAAGAAGCCTGTGGCAGAGTAGGAGACAGAACCCAATTCTCCTGATTCTTGTCTTAATCACTTCCAATCTTACTCTCAAAAGAAATGAACAAAAGTCATCACAAGGGGGCGCTCGCTACCCAAACGCCTGGATATTTCAAGCATCATTTTAGCAGAAGTGCTCAGGCATTTTCAGAGCGATCAAATGCAAGATCAGACAGGGTTTTTTTTCCACTCTGACCTATGCACACCACATGCTGGAGGGTGGCTCTGAAAGATGCTACACTGGAAGAAGTTCAGGCAACAAGGTCCCACAAATAACACATGACCACATATAACCAAAGCGGTCAAGTAACAAATGGCCTGTTGATGGAACTTAAGAAAGATGCAGGGATTTTACAGAATCAGGAAGCATGCTGCAAACTGCAAACAGCTTCTTCCTTGGGGGCTCTTTGTTTGGAGCGCTTGATGTGTAGTATCCCACGTCACAAAAGGGTGCGAGTACTCACTGGGGATGGGAACGGTAGTGTTTTGGAAAAGGGGCTAGCACAGGATACATCTTTACTTACCGAGTTGTCCTCTACTTCTTCGGACCATTTCCTGTCTTGCTCCTATGCTTCCCAGGATAGCTTCTTCAAGTTTGGCTCTCATGTCCTTTGACTTCTTGAACGTTAGACTGTTCATTCTTTCAAACACTTTCTTGCCCTGCAAGGTTCAAATGAGACAATGATGGAAGAATCTTTCAAACTGATATATATTCTGAGGATTAACAAGTGAAAATATCTTTTCTATATGAAGACAATACGACAAGAAAGGAATACAGGTTTAGCTGCTAGCTAAATAGTCTACCCAGACTCCAGCACCATTGCAGGAAACTCTTTCTGTTGAGAGTAAGTAAAAATGTCCAAGAACTGTCCCCCACTTCCTGCAGCAGCTCCCCGGTGAGTAGCAAGCGGCACATATTGCATTAGAAGTGAAAGGAGACAGAGTCACTTGCATGGCTAAATAAATGTGGAAGAAGGCTAGAGATCTTACAGAGAAACGTGTAGCCTCAGGATTATGAATACAGGAAATACTTAGGAGAGGGCAGGAAATGCCATTTCAGAGTTGTGCAAAAGACGGGAGTTCCTCTGCATGCCCTAGAAGGAATTTCAGGAGATTTAAACAATACAGACTGCTGTACCTTGTACTCAAAGCAGGATACACAGAGATAAAGCAAATCCAGCAGGCGATTGAGCTGTAGCACTGACAGGTCCGTGAACCATTTCTGCAGGACACTTTCATCTGCGTTTTTGAGCACCCACAAGAGACAGATCAAGAGGCTACGGCTGGACTCTGTTGAGAAGGTGGAGTGCTGCCTTCCACTCTAAACAGAGAGGTCAAGACATTTAGTCACACTGGGTTTCAGGTCCAGACACTTCAAACATCAGCTACCACCCTGGGCTAAGTAATTACCAGACAGGAACAGAAGGTGAACAGATATTTTTACTAATGATTAAGAGATATACCTTTCTCTTCACCAACCCAACAACTCAGTGGAGAACAGAGACACTCAAGCCACAAGAATAAAGCTGCAGCAACACATCTGAAACCAAGCTCATGATGTTACATGAATGACTTTCATTTTCAGCTAGCAAAGGTCCACTTGCCCCAACATGACTTTTAATAACCTCCATGCAAGTTAATAGTGAAGCAGAGAGGCTCCATTCATTGATAGAAAGAAGAGAAAACCGAACAGGAATCCAATCAGAGGAGTTTTGTATACCTTTTGCTACCTTTGTCTCTGTGCCATCATCCTCTCTTTTGTCCAAGTTCATTTCTCTCATGTAAGTACTTAGGCCTCCTCTAGACCAGTGTCTCACTCTGAGTGCACGTAATACCCAGAAAAATGGGGTCCTGATGCAGGAGTGCAGGGAGGAGGAGAGAGCAAAGGAAGGGTCTGCCTGCTACTAGAATCAGGGAGATTCCCAGTGCAGAGAGCAAGGACCCACTTATGTTTTCAGCCACGTGGGATTTGGATGTGGTAAGAATCTTTGCTTAGGGCTTAGAACCTATAACGACCTATAATGACTATTGCACTTCACAGAACTTTGTTATCAGATTTGTTTCAGAAAAAGAAACTTTATTAGGAAAGAGAATTCTTCCATTTTCTGAGCTTTGCTGATTTTTATCCCTGTTTGGCATTTTATTATACTCCCTCCAAGACAGGCTTACAGCCCCATGCAAATGCGATCTGTTCTGCCTTGTTTTTCACCCTCTGCCTCCCTGTGCAAAACCCACCTGCAAGCTGCTATCAGTCCCTGCTGCTCACTGATCAGGCCTACAGGGCGTGCACATGTAAATATTTGCTTATTGACACAGGCTGAGGGTCAAGGAATAGGGAGGGATAGCTTTGTACCGATGAGGTGAGTAGAAAACTGCTGGGCCGAGTGAGCTGAGGGACCGATGTTCCTGCAATGGCCATGGCAACCGTCTGGCTTATCATGCTTCCACCCTCGCTTTCATAATCTTCAACAGCGACGCAGCTTGGCCTCCCTCGCTGGTTGTGACTCTCTGCCGAGAAACACACGCATCCCAGTTAATCCCCAAATTCAAAGTTTCTCTCCCCAGCGCCCTTCCACAGTGCCAATTTCATTGAACCGTCTGGGAGTGCAAACCAAAATACATCACACTCATATGGTCCTGCAAGTAAACAGAACTGACTATTATTTGAAACTATGCAAAGCAACGGTAACAATCTTCAAAAGGGACCTAAACCACCTCGGTACCTAGAATCCTTCTGACCTTACCCCCTTTGAATAGTTCACCCCAAATCTTTCCTTGGAGCTTTATCATTTCATTGAACTCAAAAGATTTAGATGAAGACTCCAATTCCAGATGATTCCCTTGCCCTGATATGAAATAACTTAGGTCCATTGCTCTTCAGGACACTGTGTACAGCAGACCTGAAAAGCACTGCTGATGAAGCACATACTAAAAGGAAGAGGAGGAACTTTGCTTATCTCCTCTGGAATTGTTATGAGATTTGTACAGTATATGAGATGATTTTTTAAACAGGTCAGAGACATAGAGGGAGGCTGACCAGACGTATACATTCACCAGCCAAAAGTAAACTAAAATGCAATGCTGGTTTTTCACTTCATGCAAACAAGTTGGCAAATGCAGCTTTTGGCTGTTAAGAGTTACTGAGGATACATTTTGCACTTGCAGTTTAGGAAATGGATGTGAAAACATGTCAAAGTTATCAAACTTCAGAAATAGTACCAATCCCATCCAACAGTAAAGGGTTTGGTTGTTCAGTTTTAGAATAAAAACAACCAAATCTTATGAGCAACTGAAAATACACTCAAAGCACAGAACATAAAATACCTGTAAAATCATAAAGCTGAGGCACGGTTTCCATGATCACGCCAATCAGAGGTAGATACAGCATAGCCACCCGGGCCTTTACCTGTGGGTCAGAGTACCGCGGATCCGAGTCGTGACTGGACAGTAAATTGTGTACCATATTGATGACCTTCTTATGCAATCCAAATAAACTGTTAAAAGAGAGTTGGGTCACACAGATTAGTTAATATCTTCAAAGCAAATGATACTTTGTAACTAAATGGCTTTAAAAAAATCCTGGCTTTTATTTTTAACTTGACATAAACTATCATTACACAGTATTCCTTGCTCTCCCACGGATTTTACAAATGGCTGGCTTTTGCAAATTGGCTGGCAGCTCAGGAGTAATTTTGACTGTATCATATAAAATGTACAAAAATCTTTTGCTGATGTGCGTAATCAGACCCAATATAATGTGAAGGCTCTCACATTTTCCCTTCAAGAACACGGTACGCCAAAGTATCAAGTCTACTGAAGGATGTTTAGGAGAACTTGGGGAATACGGAAGAGAGGGAGAGACACTTGAGAGGACAGTGGGTTTAGTGAAACTATTCACAGCACTCTTTTTTCTTTCAATCTAACACTATTTACAGAGAGCAACAGTCTCTTAAGACAGAACATCCCTTTTACCAAATCATCAGAAAGTTTCCACTTCACCTCCCTGAACCCCCATGCAGTTATTCAACCACAACAGTAGACTGCAGACCAATATTTCTAATTATAAAATAGCAAAGAAATGGAGGGGCAGAAGAAAAAAAAATCCAAAAAATGGCCTCCTCCATTATTAAGATGCAGGAGATGGCAGAGCCCAAACACTATTCTCTTTCACAGGGCACCTTGCTTGAGCCTATTCCGTGCTCATGCCTTAAAAACACAAACTCTGAATCTCCCAAGAGCTTGCTCTGCCCCTTTCAGTTCCCTCGGCCACGACGCAGCGGCAAAACTCTCACAGAGCAAATAGCACGTATATAGTCTATAACTATTTGCTTCTGTAGGCAAACCAGTCCAATAAGACAACTTTACCCCATGCATGAAGCAGCCAAGGAAGCTCATACATTATGCATTAGCAAAACATAAGCTTCAGTGTTCAGACCTGAGGTATTAAAACAAGTGCTGAATTTCAGGCAGTATCCACTTTACCTGAAAAGTAGAGTTGAGTTCTGGTTAAAAGAGGTGAGAGTTTTTGACTGGATTGTCAAGGGGTTTAAAATGATTACAGAGGCACCAGTACAGGTTAGGAGGACATTAGATAGCTGTAGCTACACTTCTTTCCCATGTTTTTAATGAGGCTGTAATGAGATCTCATATTTGCTTGTTTGCATTATCTATTAGACCCTAAACAACTAAGAAGGAAATGCTTAACTACATGACTGGCTTATTCAAATTAAGCTTAAAGGAAAGTCTTGTATTGCTTTGAAGGAGAGGCATTTAAGCTGGGTTTGTAATAATTTAAGAGGAACCACCCTACAGGGGAAATACAGTCAAATAAAGCAGCGTACTTAAAACCTAGGGCTACACGGGCTTCGTTTCCTATTTTCCAGTACAGAGCAGGCACAATGGTGGATGGATCCATATCAGAGAGGAGGAAATATGACTCCCTAGTCTTTTTGGCTGATAATACAATGAATTCATCTTGCTGCCCTCCAACTAGTCTCACTTTTACCTCAGCCCTGGCATGAATTTGCGTCAACACTGCACACTTCTGGAACAGTGACTTTTGACATTGAATATGAGGGCCAAATTCTGATTTTCTCACTTGTGTTCTGTAACATCAGTCAATATGGGCAACATGGCAGTTACGAAATGAGCAATAAAACTATTACTGGTTAATAATCAAAGCATCACAGCATTGTTTGCTAAGACAATCTGTTCAGCATGTAGTTGCTTGGACTCAGTCTTTGTTCCTCATTTCTCCAACTGTCAAATTCAACTTGCTTGTTTCATCCACAAGTTGACTCATCTTTCAGATGCTTTGGAGGAGACCTGTCACGTATTGCGTTCAGCACCTAGCATAGAGGAATCTAACTAAAGCAGCACCTTTAGACGCTAGGGTATCGCAAATTGTTTTCTTCACAAAAAACTTTTCTTTGCAAAATTCCCAAAGGAATCCAAAGAGCTCTTGTAAAATGTGTGAGCTAAAATTCAAGGTATTATGCTAATGGAACAAAGAAGGGCAAAGAGAGAAAAAAGAATTAAAGTCTCAAGGCTCTGTATCACCTATTAAGACGTCAGGTAAACCTCTAATAACAATAAACAATTAGATAGCTATCCTTCTTCACTCCTGCTGCAGGACTACGCAACTTGGAAGAAGTTCAAGTTGTTTCCAAAGGGGAACACGGTAGTGAAAACATTTTAATGACAAGCATGTCTTAGTCTTCTATTAATAATGTGCTAATGATCCTGTCTGACCTTAAAAATTCTTCATAGGCAGGGAAAGA